AGTCCTAAATCGACCACATTGGATTAGTGATGGCAAAAAAATCTGCCCCGCCTTGCCCTGCCCTGAATGGGGCTAAAAAACCCGTCTCGATGGTTGATGGGGTGGGAGGAGGGGTTGCCCCGACCCGAACCTGCCCCATGAAGAATAAAAAAATAATTAATTACAAAAATTAAAAACAAAAAATAGTTAATTGGAAATTTTTGAAAAAATAAATAAATAAACGGGGCAGGAAACGGGGCAAGTCCGGGCCCTACCCCGTCTAAGGTGGGGCGTGGCGCAGGGTGGGACACGGTGGGAGAGTGGCGTGGCGGGACGGGATGGGGGTGCCCCGCCCCGCCCCGAACTCGCTCCGTTGCCATCTCTACATTGGATTCTCCAACGTGAAATGCCTATTTTTTGAAAAGTTCCCGAATTACCTGGACACTAACAAAGCCCATAAATATCTTTAGTTTGCAATTTATCAGGAGAATCTAGTTTATTATTATCCTATCACAAATTAACCACTGAATTCAATAATTGAGGATGCTAGTTGGGGGTGAGGCTAGACAAATCTCTCGAACCGAATCAAATTGAATCGAATCGAGCGATTCTTCTTAAATTAAATACTCGAACGGATATTTGAATCGAAAATCGACGGGTTCGGGTCGGTTTTCGATTCTAGACTAAGAACCGAAAAATCAAATAAAAATCGAATCTCCCTAATTTTTTTAATTTTTTTAAATCTTAAATAAGTCAATTTTTTTATTTTTTAAAATAAATTTGCTAACTAATTAATTTATACCAAACCCAAATATGATTTTACTATTTCTAATTTTCAGCCAAACCCAACTTAATTAAATTGATTTTACCCAAATCTCTTATTCTACCGTGGTATCATTTTTGTCGTTCTATTATTGTAAACTCGTCATCTTCCTCTTCCTGTAATTTTAAAAGTCAAATTTATGAAGATCTCAACAAAGAGATGTGCAAAAGATATCACAAAATTGGATTAAGATTGAACATGTCATAATCGAATTAATGTAGCATTGTTGTAGTATAAAATTTTGTTAATTATTATACGGAACCCGAGAACCGAATCGAACTAAACCGAATGGAACCAAACTCGAACGGTTCTATAATTAAATTTGGACCCGACTGATCTATCTACTAAATATCCGAAAATTCTAATTTGGTTCAGTTTTCTTTAGAATCGAATCGGACCATATCCAGTCCTAGTTGGGGGAACAAAATGGAGTTTTGAAAAATTTATTTTTTGATGGCCAATTGGTTTTTACTTTGAATTAAAAAATAGTGGCCTTTAAGCCATATTTTAAAAAAATTATTGACAATATTTTTACTTAACTAGCTCATTTTTACATCCTTTTGTTATATATTTTGATAAATGATTAATAGTAGAAAATTCCCCTAGAAATGTTTTTATTTGCGATATGTTCCCTACCTATTGAAAATATAAAAAAAACCCCATATTTCAAACATTTTGTGCGAAACCCCATGCCGTCAAGATCTGTCAGATTTGTCGTTAAAACAGTAAAAAAATGTCAAAATTAAAAATGAATAATTGCAATTTCAGTACCCAAACTTTTTGTTATTTTTTTTACAAATTAAATCCAATTTTTCATATGCGCCATCTACAATCCCAAATTGGGG